TGGTGCACACAAATGCCCGCACAGAGCCCCGTTTGTAGGAAGTGTTGAACATGCTGCGTACACACAGGTGGGCATCTGCACACATGGGGGCATGTGGAAATAAAGTACAAGATCCAAAATGCCACTCCCAGTGACTGTGGAGTGTTGCTGTTCCCCTGGTGATCACAGGGCTGGCCGTGGGCAGTGACCCCTGTGGCTGCCCAGCATTGAGAGGGCATCGTACAGTGCACATCGTCAGCTTGGGGAAAGACCAAGGTCTAAGATTCAAAGCAGGGTTCCCATGGAACCAAGAGTATTGTTTTTACACCCCTACACAGCGGAAAACTGTGGTCAGTGGGGACTTATCCCTGCATTTATGGAGGACCTGTGCTTCAGTATGATGAGGATACTCCTGGCAGGAATTGGAACTCAAGTTCTCTTGCTCCCAGGAGGTCCTCCCTCACTCTGAAAACATTAGCCAGCAGGATATTCTTGCCAGGACCCAAGGCACAGTGGTGGGGACCCAGGAGATGTTGCTGGCAAAGCACAAAGTGAAGCTAGAAGGCCAGGGGCTTCCTGCGATGGTCCAACCCTGGGCTTGGCAATCAGGGCAGTTTTGGACACCCAGGAGAAGCCAAGAAGTGAAGTGCAAGCCCATAGGAAGTAGGGACCTTGCAGAGGAAAGAGGCCTTTCAGAGAGACAGGGCCCTGCCTGTGACAGGAGCAGCCAGAGCCCCAGCCTGCGTTATCAGTGGAAGAACAGAAGGTGCCAGGGAGATCCTGAGCTGGCACAAGCCAGGAGGGCCAGAGAAAGTGACCAAGGGTCAGGCTGAAACCCTCAGGGCAGCCCACACCACAGGCTTGACCATGGATGGCTCAGCCACTGTGGTCTCCCTTCTGACTGGCATTCAGGTAAACCCAATGGCCACTGCTCTGTGTTTCCAAGGAAGGCTCAGTTACTGGCATATTTTGTGGGATTTTGGTTTTTCCATCCTCCAAGGGCCACATGGAACAAAAGCCACATCACCTGGATTCTCACTCCAGCCTGGATGTGAGCACTTTCCCACACAGGCGTGAAGCAAAGCAATATGGGTTTTATTGAACTTTGGGACAGCTAGTTAATTAAAAAACAAAAACAGTTCACATTGCCCTTTATAAATGAGAAAATGGAAATAGTCCCCAGGGGAATTAGGATTATGCGTTTTGATGACTTTAGGACATGGGAAGTCTGGTTTTGTGTGGGTCAGTGGTTCAGGTGAGCATCTAGCACAGAGTTTGACCTCGTGAAGAAGGGGGGCAGAAGATCTTCATCTGTGTTATTAATGAAATGAATGCAGAGCCCTTTTCTCACGCCAAGCCCTGCAGAGTAAGTACAGAACTGCACGGTCCTCCTTCCTCTTAGTCTGGGAAGCCAGGAAGACATTACTTGAGAATCCACTCAGGGCTTTGGAGACCGGAAGAGTAACAGGATGCAATACGGGTGGAGCATTGGCCACAACAGGCAAGGCTGGGGTTGTTGAGAGGGTGGAAGAAAGGTTTCCTGCACAAAACCCAACACCGTTCTGTTTCACTGCTCTCCTGAGACCCTTCCTGGAACACAAGGCACATCTGTGCCTGGAAGCAGGCAACAGCTCTGAAGGCTGCAGGGCCTAGATTCACTGGAGCCTGGGGAGGAAAGAGGAGGGAGGTGGCCCTACCAACACACATGTTCGGTCCTGCAGGGTGGCCCAGGAGTAGCCATAAAACACACACCTGCAAAGTACAAGTGGCACAGCCCATGTCCCCTCTCTCCCCACAGATCACTGTCTCGCTATGACAGCAGGTCTTTCTGAGGCACTCCAGGGCCACATCTCCAAGCCTCCTGCCTAGCCTAGGAACACCGCCTGCTGAGCACTGATGGTTCACCTTGGGGGCTGGAGACATCCAGAGGCAAGATCTCCAGAGCCTGAGAGTGTGAGGAAGCACTCTCAGGAACCCAAGGTTTAAAGAAATCTCATTGTTTGGCGCACACATTCAGTAGAGCAACTTGGAGTATGTCCTGTACGTCAGGCATTGCACCAAGGGCAGGAGCACTTGAGGGGCCACGGGCACCCTGGGGAAGTAGCTGACCTGCATCTGGACAGGGCTCTTGTCTCCCCAGAACCTTGGCTTCCTAAAGCACTGCCATTTTGAATTTCGCGATACCTAAAGCTCAAGGCTGCATGAAGGCAGGGGCCGGTTTGCCCTGGATGCTGTCTTCCAGCACCAGTTCCCCGAGAGCCATCCTAAGCCCTACTCAGAGCACATTTGTCCAAGCACTCAGATAATCTGCTTCAAAGCCCTGGGTGACCAGGGACTGCCCAAGGCGGGATCTTGCAGGAACCAAGACACACATGAGCATGTGGGTAGCCTTTCCACTTTGCCACCTGTGTTATCTGTAGGTGCTGACCCCATCCCACCAGCCAGGTCCTCATGCACTTCCCTGATGTCCTGCTACCATCTCACAAGAACTGCTGCCTCCACCCTCTGTTGCAAGTCAGCCCTGAACAGGAGCAGCGGGTGGGAGATGGGCGAGGAGAGCTGCTGGTTCCTCCAGAGGCCATCCGGCTTTTCTGGTTTCTTAAGAGGGTTTCAGCAAACACACTCCTGTTTTAAGCATTTTCTAAAAAGCTACTTTTGCAGACTTCATGTTCTCTTATGAGCTCATTTTTTTGCCCAATGACATAAAGCAAGGAATTAGAAAACCACCATTTCTAATTGAAACATAAAATGGGACAAACGGCGAATGCCAGATTCACTCCCTTTCCCTCACTAGGTTTTTCTAGTTCAGACGACATTTCAAAACCATTATAGGGTCTAAACAATTTTCAAGAAATGGAAGACATGGTCTCTGACCTCCACTATTTTTATTTCTTTTGTTAAATATTTTAAAAATATAATATAGTACTTTCAGGTCTATTTAGAAAGTATGATGGTAATAATCCAAAACCTCACCCCTCATGATCTGTACTCCCAGTTTGGCATAATGCCTTCCGCTCTTTGTGTCTTCACGTGTTTCATTTAGTGACACCCATAAGTTCCATTTGACTTCATAAACCTGAGAGCACCAGCTCCACGGGAAGCAAAGGAAGGTGGCAAACACAGTTTCATCATCAGAAAGTCCTGAGTTCTTATAAAGAAAGAGAGAAAGGAGACTTAAGAACAAAACATTCTCTGCCACTGGATTTTAATTAGAACTATAGTAACCATGTGATGTAAAGTTAGAAACATGCATTTTGTGAGATTAAGTTCTCTAATTCCCACACGTATGTCTCCTCATGTTCCATGTTATAGGATGAGTGCATCCATTTAAAATCCCTAAGTTAAAACCTCACCATTAATACGCGGGTATTAGGAGGCCGGGCCTTTGGGGTGATTAGGATCATGAGGGTATGAAGGTGGGGTATGGAGGTTAGTGCCTTTCTGGGAGTGCAGGGAAATTCATTGTTCTGTTCTGCACAGTGAGAATGCCACTGTCTGCAATAGGGGAGAGGGCCCCCATCAGAATCCCACCAGCCCATAGCCTGGCCCTGGACTTCCACCTCCTGAACAGGGAGGAAGAGATGTTGGTTGTTGAAGCCACTAAGCATGTGATGGGTTTAGCATCCCGAACAGACTGAGACAGTCAGCACTTAATTTATGTCCCACAGTGTGATTTTATAATTACCTTTATTTGGGACCTCTATCTTCATATTAAAATCATTCCTAGCTCTTAAAAGTTTTTTGGAACTATTGTAAAAATATTTTCCCATTTTACATCAAGTTTTTATTGTTAATATAATGCAAGATAAAATTTTGAATTTTTATCTTTAATCCAGTAATTTTGTTTCCCATTAAGATGGCTTTTAAAATAGAAGCTCTTGAGTTTGGGTGGCATAAAATTATATTGAAATTAAAAACAAATAGTAGTATTGCTTTCAATATTTTTATGATTTTTTTTCACGAACAGATGTGTTTCTTTCAACAGTTGAGTTTGAAACTCTTGCCTTAAGGTGTTACAATGATTATATATCAGGAATAGACAATTTCCTACACTGTCAAATATATGAAAGTTGCTTTTGCACACCTTTTTCAACACTGATCTACAAGCAGAATCAGTCCCCATTTGCTTTGACTTATCCCCTGAGTTATGCTGAGTGAACTCTGGCCTCTCAGGTGGCAGAGGGCAGGGAGGCTGAGGTGGACCTTCCTGGAGCCACAGATGAACTGCCACAGTAGAGTGAGAGTGCCCATCATGGTGACATGGGCAAAGTCCCTGCCACACACCTGTAGGTCCAAGTCTCTGAGGACCTGAGGAGCATGGACACTCCAGAATCAGCAGGGTAAGGGACAATTGCACAGAAGACTCTAGCTGTGTCATCTGCCACAGATGTCCCAACCAGCTGCACTGCTTTTGTGCACTCGCTGCTGGGCTTAGGAACCACAGACCTGAGTGGCACTCCAATAGCATGCTCAGCACAGGTGGCCTTCACCTTGGGTGCACAGTGTCTGTCCCACACAGAGAGGAGCCCTCCCGGGAGCAATGCTTTTTTTGCCTTCTTCCCTATACATTTTGGGAGCTGCATCCCTCCAAGTGTTGGCACAGCCTGGTTGGATTTGAATCTGACCTTCGGCAGCTTCTGTAGGAGCCAAGGCAAAGAACTCAGCTCTGGCAGAGGCAGCCAAACATAGTGATGTGCACCAGAGATAGGCGTTCTCCTCCCCTCGCAGGTTCTATCCAAGGCTCTGAAAACTTCATGAAAGCCAAACTGCAAAGCCCTGGCGTAGAGGAGCCAGTGAAAGCTGGACCTATCCTTTAACCAGAACACAGACACCATCCTCCTTAAGTATAAGGAGAATCCATTCGATGTGTCTGGTGCTTTTGGGGGTCCAACTGCACACAGCATTTCACTAAATGCAGGGGAACAGCCGTGTGTGTCAGCCCACAACTTAAGACCCCACCAAAGCCCCATGTGCATAAAACTCCATGGAGCCACAGTAACAGCAGTTCTCTTCTACTGCAGGTTGCCAGCTTGCCAAGACTTTGGGGTGGGCACAGGGGCCTGGTGAGGCTGCTGCTGGGTCCCAAGAGGTCACTGTGTACCAGCTGCAGGTGTGGCATGTTGAAGAATTTGCCCATGCCAGGTGTACCAGAGAGGAGCACATCTTCTTAAGACAGGGAACAGCTGACGGCTCCTTGGAAAGGCTCCCCTGCTTACAGAGGCCAGGTGTGTCCCCCACCCCCCCCACCCCCGTCAAAGTTTTTATGAATTATTTTACTGCAATGCTTACTGAATTGACTAGAACATATAACATCATATTGGACTATAATGCAAACAGCAGAAATCCATGATATTCATTGTATAAACTGAACTGATTTTGTATTTCACCATTTAGAATATTTTCTGTTTGTGTTTGACAAGTAGATTTTTCAAGTCATCAAATGGCTACAACTTTTTAATTCTTTCAGAGTTCCTACTTAGAGTGACTATTAGGTTTTCCAAATGCTTCTTAAGGATCTATTGATAGGACCATATTGTTATGTTTTAAATTATTTTAGTAGATTTTATAGTATCAAACCATCCTTGCAATGTATGAGCAGATCCAAGCTGGCTGCAGTATATTAATCTATGCAAATAGTCTTGAATTGTATTTTCTATATTTTTATTCATAACTTTTATCTGTAATCATACATAATGTTGTTTGAGATTTTTAAATATTATCTATTTGTAAAACAATTATTTTGACCAGAACTCTGTATTAAAATTACTCTAGCTTCATGACTGACCCAGTAGGGAGGCTTTTCTCTTTTCATGTGATTGGAATTGACAGTTTAAAGAGCAGTGAAACCATCTGGCCTCTAGGGCTGGGCTTTGCTCAGTGCTGGAATCCTCTGGATGTGGACTTACAACACCAGCTCCTCCGACGCCTTCCCAAGACTGCAACTCAGCCTCTGTACACTCTCTGCTTCATCTTGGATCAGTTATTGCAACTCACATTTGGTTAGTAGTTAAACATTCCCCCAGGTTTTCAAATTTGTTATTAAAAGGTTGTATAACCGCCTAATGTATTATATGTAATGCACTGTATTTACTTATGCATGATGTCATGTATTAATATCATTATGTCCTAGTACATTTGATAGGTCAAATGTTATATATATTTGTATAATTGTATATTACACATATGTTTTGTCTCCTCCCTTGTTCTAATCATGCATTTTTCCCTTCAATCTTTATTTTAAAATTTTATCATAAACAAATTTACAAGGGGTTTGTCTAGTATACTGGTATTTTCACAAACTAGCTCTTGGGTTTATTATTCATTCTTTTATTTTTGCCATTGTTTTAAAATTATTATTATGCTCATTTTTTTCTTCACTAATTTCCTCTTCCTGCTTTCTTTTGGTTTATTTTAATTGTTTCCCTAGTTTTCTATAATATAAAGTTTCATTATTTTTAATATCTCTTTTTTAATGCAAGCTTTTAAGTTTCTTCATATTTCTCTAGGTAAAATTTATGCAATATTTTAGCTTTGATGACCTCCTTATTCCAAAATTTCTCTAGGGGTATATTTCTTAATTTTTAAGTGTGAATTTTATAACGTTTTTAATGTATTTTATAATGATAAGAAATCCTTTCTTTGTTCTATCAACTTACAAAATAATTTTTATTATCTATTTGACAGATTATGGATTCATAGATTTCATTATGGTTTTAATTTTGGTCTGTAACTTGTAACTGACTTAGAGAAGGGAAGGATATACTAAAATCTCCCCAGAATATAACATTTTAATATAATTCTTCTATTCCTAATAGGTTTTGCTTCATATCTTTAACTGCTCTTTTGTGTGCATACAAAGATCTATGAGCCTTTTGCTTGCCTGGGTTGTCTGAGAAGCAGACATCGGGATGGGACTGAATGTGGTGGAATCTTCCGTGGGAGGTCAACGTAAAGGAACCGGGAGAGGCTGGGGAGGTGTCGCCCGTAGTACAGCTCTGACTCCAAGTACGGGGTTGCTGGGGGAAGGCAGGTGGAGACAGAGCATCTTGGACGGCAGGCCTCATAAGAGTCCATCAAGGCTGTCAGCAGGCCAGGACCATGGCTGGCTGTCCTGGAATGCGTGCCCTCCAGGAAGGCTGGCTGGTACTGTGCTGCTCTCCTCCCTGCCTAGGAGGAGCCACCTGGCAGCCACAGCCTGACACGGGGTGCCGGGAGCAGCAGCCATGTGCTGGTCATATGTGCTCCCTGTGGTTGAAATCAGGTGGTGTGTCCAATGACACATGCATCCATGTGCCTTCTTCAAAGAGAAGCACGACCTCTGTTATTAGCCCAGTATTTTAGCATTTTCCAAAGCTATTAGCTCTTGGGATCTTTTCTCCTACAGAATATGGGCAGCACATTCTAAGAAATGCTCTTCTCATTGCTCATCCTTTGACAGTGCCCTTGTCATGTCTGAAATATTTCACCAACGATATCTATGAAGACAGAGACAACACTTATGTCAAATTTGCAGCTGACACTGAAAAAAAAGGAAAAATAAATCTGACCGACTCCTGTAAGTCCTTCTACTTATGCACAAGTGCAATTCTGAAGGCTTTTTGAAAGGTCATTTGATCATAAATTCAAAGTAAGGGAGTCTGTTTTAAGTTTGCAAGGCCCAGACACAGACGTGAGTGGTGACCTCGAAGCATTAAAGCCGGTGTACATGGTCTTAGCTGGTGTTGTTCTGAAGTTTTGAGGCAGTTCATCCCCAGGCCAACTCCTGAACATCTCTAAAGGTGCTTTGGTTGCTCCTTACTGTGAAGCCAGCATACACTTGTCTCTCCTCATTTTGATTTTGTGCAGATTCAAATGGCCATGATTCCATGTGGTCATCCACGGCTGTGACCAGTTTCCTCAGCAGAAGAATCACATTGCTTTGCTTCTGACTCTTGGCTTCAGGCCACTCCGTGTAGAGACTAAAGCCCATGGGCATGGTTGGCCCCAGCGTGGCCCCAAGCTCACGTCTAGATCCCTGGTGCATCAAGGCCCAGAGGTGGCTTTGGGGGAAGTGATGGGGTCAGGAGGGCTTACCAGGGAACCAATCCTTTTGATGGCTTAGCAAGTGAAATGGGCCATTGGGAGCTGGTGGAAGTTGTCAGCTGAGGAGGTAGGTCACTGGGGGACGGTATCTTGTCCTGTCCCTTTCTGTCGCCTCTCCCTTTCTCTTTGCTTCCCAGCTTCCATGAGCTGAGCGGCGTTGCTCCATCCTCCTTCTCCATGATGCTCTGGCTCACCTCAGGACCAGAGCAAGGAGCCAGCCAGCCATGGACTGAACCTCTGAAACCATGAGCCCAAGTTCTTTCCTCCTTATGTTGAAAAAAGTTAACACACCTCTGAAACCTGAAGTCCACCCAGAAGGCTGATCCCACCAGGGCCTCCAGTTGACCTGCCCACCACAAGCCTCTCCTGGTCTTCCTGTCCCTGTTGACTGTGCAGGTGTAGAGCTTTACACTGATTCACTTTCTGCCCTTGAGGATTGTCCCTCCTGTGGAGTGACTCATGCACAGCACCTGCCACTTCCCCACCACATTCCATTTTTATCAGAAGCTTCTTCTGATTTCCCTGTAAGTTTCTAGGTATGAATTCTTTCTATATTTTATTGGCACTTTCAAATATTATGGGTATAACAATGCTCCTAAAATGTCTCAGCAGTAAACACAGACAGCTGAGTCTAAAATGAGTCTGCAGACGGCTGATGTCATCTGTTGGTGGCAGTGGGACCTGACACAATTTGCTCTGGAGGAAAGCTTTGTTTATTTTTACTGAAGTTTATTGGTTGAAACTTATGAAGAGACACGATTCTATATTAAGCTGGGGACCTGAGGGGACACACAGGTAATGCTACCTCTGGCTTCCTGGCCCTCAGAGAGACAGCTCCTTCAAATGCAGATAGGAAAAGAAAGCCGCGCTTCATTAAGAAGCCAACTCACAGGAAGCCTCCTTTCCGCGTCTCTCCTCTGCCATCCTGCCTCTTTGGTAAGCTGGATCTTATTTCAACTGGCGCAGGAAGCTTTGGGATCCATCTGAAAGGGGCCATCCCCCACCATCAAGGGCTCCCTCCTGCTTCGCTCCTGGGTGTGGATAGCAAGCCTAGCCTCAGCAAGGTGGGAGGTACCTGCTTGGGGTACCAGGTCACCTTTTATGAAAAGGCTAGAACTGCATTAACCCAGTGACGCACTGGGTGTTGGGTTTGTCCAGGAACTGGCCCGGTGGTGGCTGGTGGCCTCCTTCAGATCCTGAAGGGACTCCCAGTGCTTTGTGGTACTTGCATAGTGTGGCTAATCTCTAACAGAAGAAACATAGGTGCTGTCCTCACCTATGACTCACTCAAAAAGGCCAGGGGCAGCACTGCTTCTTACACTACCCGGGTCATTCTACCCTCATCAGCTGGCCGAGGCCCACCTCTGCCCTGGACAAACCTCAGCCTTAGGTAAGGGCAATGAGAGCACCCACTGCCCAGCACGCCACCCTGTGGGGCTTGGCCTCGATTTCTGTCTGTCTATAAGTCTGAGACTCCAGCTGTGCCTGGCTCTGCTTCTACCCATCTCCTACACCAGATGATGGGACGCCAAATCAAAGTCCCCGGCTGGAGGACAGGACAGAATCATCGGAGTGAAAACCTGCGGGATAGGAGAGCATGCCATGAACCAGGCTCTCGTGAGGGGACAGCACCCAGGATGTGTCACTATAACTCAACAGCAAACGAGCATACAACCCAGTGGAAAATCGGACCTGCGATTCAAGCCAACACCTTTTGTGGAGATCTAACCATACATTAGGCACATTCCAGGAACAGGACACCAAATAAGCCCCATCCCTGCTGAGTGCACTGGGATCAAGTGCTGGAAACCAAGAGCCTACAGGTGTGAACGTGGCCCGCCGCCCTTGGGTCGTGTTGAATCAGGATGTTGAGGATTCTAAGGAGTAAGTCAGCTCTCATAGTGCTGCACTGGTCCTGCAAGAGCAGGTGCTGTCAGGGAGCCCCGTACCTCCCTGGGTCTTTCTTGACACACTTCTGCACTCTCCCATCTGTCCTTCCACCAGGAGACCCTCGCCAGAAGCCAAGCAGATGCTGGAACAACCCAGAGCAGAACTATGAGCTAAACAAATATCTTTTCCTTATAAAGTACTCAGATTCTGGTATTTTATTATAGCAACACAAAAACAAGACAAAAAGGATACTAAAATCATACAAAAACAAAACATCAAAATCAAGCCATATGGGGCTGGGTTTGTGGCTCAGTGGTAGAGTGCTCGCCTGGCATGTGAGAGGCACTGGGTTCCATCCTCAATCCCACTTAAAAATGAAATAAAGATATTGTGTCCACCTACAATTAAATATATATATATATATATATATATATATATATATATATATAATTTTTTTTAAAGAGAGAGAGAGAATTTTTTTAATATTTATTTTTTAGTTTTCGGCGGACACAACATCTTTGTATGTGGTACTGAGGATCGAACCCGGGCCGCACGCATGCCAGGCAAGTGCACTACCGCTTGAGCCACATCCCCAGCCCATATATATATATAATTTAAAAATCAAGCCATATATAAATTATTGAGAATCAGATGGTATAATTTCTCAAAGAGATCACAGAGAAGTTGGAGACAGTTGAATAAAGGTGTTTTCTAAAATCTAAGAGAAATACTTTTGAACTTCTAATTCTGTACCAGCCAATCTAAACTGTTAGAATAGGGAAAAAATGTTGTCTGACATCCAAGCTCACAGAAATGTCATTCTTATTTGTTTCTATTAGTGCTTTAAAAGCTAAATTTGACTTCTACAAAAATGAGGGAATAAACTAGAAAGGGGAACACTTTGGGTTGAGGACTCAGGGGGTGAGGAAAGTCCCCAGGTCCCAGCTCAGTGTCCAGCCTGGACAGCAAGGAGAAGTGTTCAGGCTGAGCACTCAGGCGCGATGCTGCTGCGTAGTAATAGTAGGCATGACAGATCAGCAGCCCAGGAGGAAGAGGAGAACATTATCTGATGGATTCGACACTTGGAGGCCGAAATTCAGCTTTCTGTGGGAAATTATGGGAATAATGTAGCATGATACAGAAAAGCAAGCCAAAAAAGAGACAATAATTAACTCAGCTAATTTCTTTAATTACAGGAATAGAAAGAAAAGAAACATAACAATATTGCTTACATGATTTAAATAATAATTATACAATCTGAATAATATATATCCTCAATATTGAATTAAACAAAATGACAATATAATCTCATACCAGGACAGTGAGCTGTGTGTGTGTGTGTGTGTGTGTGTGTGGTGTGTGGTAACTCTGCATGTGTAGTGTATGCACATGTGTGTGGTGTGTATCATGTGTGTGTAGGGGTGGTGTGTGTGCATATGTGTGGTGTGTGTATGTGGTATGTATGATGTGTGTGTAATACATGTGCATATGTGTGGTGTGTGTGCATGTGTAGTATGTGCATGTGTGTGTGTGGTATGTACATGGTGAGTGCACATGTGTGGCATGTGCATATGTGTGTGTGGAATGTGTGCGTGTATGGTGTGTGCATACATGTGGTGATGTGCATATGTGTGTGGGGGGTGTGTGGGTGTGTGTGTGCGTGTGGTGTTCATGTGTGTATAGGTGTGTCTGGGGCATGGAGAAGAGTGAAATCTAATCTTTTAAGATGGAAAGTTAATGGACAATGAGTACATTTGAAAAATAAAAAGCTGATTTTTAAAGAACATGCAAGAGTCTGAATGCTTATGTTCCCCTGAAATCCACGTGTAGAAATCCTTCTCCAGGGTGTTAGGAGGAGGGTCTATGGGAAGTGGCTTCGAGGGTGGGGCCTCAAGGTCTTGAGGATGGGGCCTCAAGAAGGGCCTTGTGGACGGGCCCCAGGAGAGCTCCCTCAGCCCTTCTTAGTGAGGAGAGGGCTGGAGAAAGCAGCCCCACTGAGGTCCACAGGTGGCGCCCTGACCCGAGATGCTGGCCTGTAGAACTAAGTCTCATTGTGAGCCCCTGCCTGAGGTGTCTGCTGCTGCGGCCCCAAGGGGCAGCAGGATACTATTTCATAATAACAAGATCAAAGAGAAGAAAGAGCTGAGTGGGCGGGAGTTCAGGGACCCTTGTGCCAAGAGACTACGATAAAACCCTCTGCCTTGCTGCACTGTTACAGTACAGAAAATTAAAAAGCAATTACAATCAGGCAACATCATGGCACGGCTGGCAGTGAGTCATAGTAGTCATCTCAAAAGTCCTCTCGGAGCTGACCCAGCTTCCAGACCCGTCAGGCATCACAGAGGGAAGGGAAGGCTGAGCTGAGGATCCTCAGCCCTGGAGAGGAGCAGGGCACTGCCCCACTGGTTGCACCCAGCCCTAGCCCACAGCCCGCTTCCCCAAAGTGTTTGCAGGGGACACTGATCATCACTCTTCTACAAGGAGAGACACTGACAGAGGCCAGGGAAATGCCCTTGGCTGTGAAGAGAGTCGATGAGGAGATGGGGGTGACGGTTCAATAAGGACACGG